TCAGTTCAATAACAAAAACCTGGTTGTGAATTTAATAAAACACTAGATCTGGCCAGGTGTGGTAGCTCAAGCCTGTAATCTCAGCACTTTGGGAGGCTGAGGCAAGAGGATTGCCTAAGCTCAGGGGTTTGAGACCACCCTGGGCAACTTGGTGAGACCTTGTCTCTACAATAAATCAAAAAATAAGCCAGACCTGGTAGCACACACATGTAGTTCCAGCTACTTGGAAGTTCTGAGGCAGAATGATCGACTGAGCCCAGCAGGTCGAGGCTACAGTAGCCATGAGTGTGCCACTGCACTCCAGCCTGGATGACAGAATAAGACTACAACCCCCCCCCCCAAAAAAAATACTAGATCTGTCTGGAGAGTTTACATCATGGTGATATTCACCCTTTTTTCTAAGGACAATCTTAGTCTTTTCATATATTCATACTTTGGTGTCTTTTAGTTTATCTTTTTACTTTACAATCATCTTATATCATTTGTTAGACATATTTTAGTGCTTTAAGAAAATTAGTTATGAACTATGTTACCTTCCTAATTTCCTTTCTTTTTTTTTTTTTTTTCAGAATCTCACTCTATTGCTCAGGCTGTAGTACAGTGGCATGCTCATGGCCACCGCATTGCCAGTCCCAGCTTGTTTTAAAGTATTATATTGCCCATTCTGGGTCTTTTGCCTTTTCACTAAACCTTAGTATCATGTTTTTTTTATTTTCCACAACATATCTTGGTAGGAGTTTGATTAAAATTGTGTGTAATCTATAATTCAAATTGGGGAGAGCTAACATCTTAGCGATATTGAAGTTTCCTATTCATGAGCATGGAACATCTCTCCATTTATTTAAATCTTCTTTTGAGGCTGAGTGACGTAGGGCGTAGTAGTTCCATGGGTTCTTTGAGTCTGTCAAGGAAAAGAATTTCAGGGTGAGTTGTATAGAGAGCACTTTTTAAGTACAGTTTATTGGAAAGGAAAAAAAGAAAAAGAAGTGACAGGCTCAAGGGATAATGTAAGTGGCCTTAAGGGAAAGGGCACACACTTGCTCTTAGCAGAAAGCTTTATATAGTATCCAAAGTGATGATTAAGCAACCTATTTCTAAACTAAGTTTTGATCACAAGTTTCATTTCTTACCTTTTTACTCCTAAGTTTGTGTTGCATGGAACTTTTGAGATAATAGAAAAGTTGTTATTTGATTAAGACTTCTCCCCTTGAGTGAAAGGGTGATTTTTTTATTTTTATTTTTTATTTTTATTTTTTGAGTAGGAGTTTCACTCTGTCACCCAGGCTGGAGGGTAATGGCATGCTTAATGGCCACCGCAGCCTGGACCTGCTGGGCTCAGGTGATCCTTCGCATCAGCCTTCCAAGTAGCTGGAAGGCTACTTGGAAAAATTAGCCACCATGCCCGGCTAATTTTTCTTGATTCATTGTAGAGATGAGGTCTCTCCAAGTTGCCCAGGCTGGTCTCGAACTCTTGGGCTCAGGCATTCCTCTCACCTCGGCCCCCCAAAGTGCTGAGATTATAGGCGTGAGTCAGCGTGCCCAGCTGGGTGATTTTTTTTTTTTAAGTGTTCTCTTTGAGCACCATGCCTCAGTGTCTCCAGTAACTCCCCATTGTGCTGTTCTTAGTCCTTGTAGCCAGCCATCCCGTATTATAAAGACAGACCTGGATTTCAGTCAATATGAGTTGTTTAAGAATCATGTCCCAGGCTAGCTATATCTAAATTATGCCAACTGTCTTGCCTCGCTTTGAGACTTTCATTGGAATTTTGTAGGTTTTATCATATAGATTTTTGTCACATTTGTACATAAGTATTCTTTTTGTGCTATGTAAATGGTGTTTTTTTTATTTTGAATTTCAAATCTAGTTGTTCATTCCTTGTATATAGAAAAATGATTAGCTTTTGTGTATTAACTTGCTGCAACCTTGTAACAGTCTCTTATTAGTACCAGGAGTTTTTTAAAATTATGTTTTAGGGATTTTCTGCACAATTATAACATCTGTGAACAAAGACAGTTTTAGGTCTTCTTTTTCAGTTTCAGCACCTTTTATTTCCTTAAGCTTTTTCCATCTTTTGATATATTTTGGTTTTTGTTCTTTTGCTTGTTAATGTAATGGATAGCATTGACTTTCAAATGTTGAATTAGCCTTATGCACTTGATTTTGGTATATAATTCTTATTCTATTTATGCATTGTTTGATTCAACTTGCTAATATTTGCTAATGCCTTTTGCATTTATGTTTATGGCAGAGCTTGGTTTATTGTTTTCTTTTCTTGTAATGTGTGACTAATTTTGGTATTAGGGCAGTGTCTTCTGCTACTTGCTCTATGAGCTGATTTTACTGAGCAGCTGGTGCTGTATTGTTCTCTGGTAGTTTTTTGTTGCCACATCTGTGTAAAACTAAAAGCAAAACAAACAAACAAAACTATAAGAGTTTCCAAACATAATTCATTCTTTTAATTTTTACCATAAAATATCACAAAAGAATCAATAAAAAGCTGTTAGTGACAATGACAATAAAAATAGTTTTCGAATTTTCATCAAGATTTATAACTTTATTTGAGCAGTTATTTAGTTTCTTGTTGTTCCTTTTCTGACTCATCCTCATTTTTCCCCAAGAGATGACAATTGTCTTGATTTTTTTTTGGTGGTTTTTCATTTCTTTACCATGTTATTTTTCACTGAGCAGTATTCTTTTACTTTTTCCTCCTTTGAACCTTGAGTAAATGGGTATTAATAGAATTACAATGAAAAGGTTCCTCGGTGGTTTTCTACCTAAGTGTATTTCACACATGCTAATAATGTCTGAGGCTGCAGGCCATCCAGTTCACGCCTCCTTTTTCATGGTTATGGTGTTTTGGCATATTCAATTTTGTTTTTTGCCCTTTGGAGCAAGTAAAGAACAAGCCCTTACGTACCTTTTAATTGTGGGTTGGTTTCAAGACAGGAGAAATACTGTTCCTATCATCTTAGGATCATTTTACAAATGCAAATTTATATAGAGAAAAAATGCCAGGCTATTGTTTATAAGAAAGTTCAAGCTATAGGAAATAACAATGGATGTATCAATAGACCATACATGCATTACTGCTTGTTTGCTGTGGTAATTATAAATTTGTCATCTGACTAATATTTTTTTTCTAATTAATGTGAAATGCCACCTACTTGACCTTTCATTTGACTATTTCTCCCTTAACAAGGAGATGTACCTTTTAAAAATATGTAGCATTGGCCAGGCATGGTGACTCACGCTTGTGATTCCCAGCACTTTGGGAGGTCGAGGTGGGAAGATTGCATGAGCCTATGAGCTTGAGACCAGCCTGGGCAGCATAGCATGTCCTTGTCTACAAAAAAGAAAGGAAGAAAGGGAGGGAGGAAGCAAGGATGGATGGATGGATTGAAGGAAGGAAGGAAAGATGGATGGATGGATTAGGTGAGCATGGTGGCACACACCTGTAGTTCCAGCTCCTCAGGAAGCTGAGGCAGGAACATCGACTGACTTAAAAATTCTTGTTGTGGGCCGGGCTTGGTGACTCAGCCTGTAATCCCAGCACTTTGGGAGGCCGAGGTAAGTGGCTTGCTTGAGCCTGTGGGTTCAAGACCAGCCCTGGCAATTTGGTGAGATCTCATCTCTACAATAAATAAAAAATTAGCTGGGTATGATGGCGTGCACCTGTAGTTCTGACTACTTGAAAGGCTGAGGCAGAAGTATTGCCGGACCCCAGCAGGTCGATGCCGTGGAGTGGCCATGAGTATGCCTCTGCACTCCAGCCTGAGCAACAGAGTGAGGCTTCAACACACACACACACACACACGCATACACACACATATCTTGATATGTTTAAGGGAAGCCATTTATTACTTTAGAAGGCTTTGACCATTGTTAAACATTTGTTACTCCTCTTAGGTTAGGAAAAATTGCTTTTGGTTTTGAGTTGGGGGGGTCTCGCTCTGTCACTCAGTCTGGAGTGCAGTGGCAAGATCATGGCTACTGCAGCCTCGACCTTCTGGGCTCAGAGAATCCTCCCACCTCAGCCTCCCAAGTAGTTGGGATGATGGACGCAAGCCACCACATCCAGCATTTATTATAAAGAAAAGATCTCAATATTTTGCCTAGGCTGGTCTGTAACTCCTGGGCTCAAGCAATCCTGCTACCTCAACTTCTCAAAGTGCTGGGATTATAGGCTTAAGCCACCACACCCAGCAGATTTCTGGAATTTTAAATATTTCTGAAAGGTGCACGTTGGTAATATTGAGTTCTTTCTATGAACGTCTTGTTCATAGAAAGACATTTTCCTTATTTCATTCTTCTTTAACTTTACTTAATAAAAAGGCATTGTTTTCCTTATTTCATTCTTCTTTAACTTTACTTTAAAAAAATATAGAATTTCTTCATTAAGATGATAAAAAAATTCTTCATTAGTCTTATTTACCACTTGATTATATTTGGTCTGTAGGATAAGTGCAAGCTTGCAAATGTTTTCTCTTAGTGTAATCACAAAAGACGGACTTAATTCCCTAAGTAACAAATTGTGACAGCATGTGAAATGTTTTCTACCAGAGAAGCTCATTAGAGACTCGGCACCTAGAGTCGTTTTGGGGAGCTCATCACATAGACACTGTGAGTTGTGCATATAGCAAAATCTCAGACTCTCAGAAGAAAAACTGGAGATCAGAAATGACCATATTTTTTTCATAAAAAATATGGTTTAGGATAACCAAGCTAATCTTATCATATAGGTTGAATCCATTTCCCAGATACCAGCAATAAATGAATGTCATGGGGAGCTGTTTTTAAGGGTAAGCAGTTTTAGGACTGCTAAATGTAAGCTTTGTTCTGCACATTAGATCTTAGGACTTTGTTATGTCCACTGTGTAGTCATTAGATAGGACCCAGGCTGTCTACAGCCATGCCAGCCTGAATACACCTGATCTCATCTGATCTCAGAAGCTAAGCAGGGTCGGGCCTGATTAGTACTTGGGTGGGAGATATGACCCACGCAGCAAATAGTACTCCCTGGAACCACCAATGAGAAAGATGTTCATACACTGCTATTTCTTTACCCCATAGTTCAATTCTGATATCAGAATTTCTATGTGGAAGGAAGTGAGTATGGACAGAGAGTAAGAGTTCTGGTGACCAAATAGTGGAGTAAGTGTTTGTAGACCCCTGAATCATGTGAATTTTTAATGAATTGATTATAGATGCCCAACCCTGTCAGTCTCACCCATTCTCTCTCTATATGTGGGATGTTTCAGGACTCAGTCGTCTTTGAGGATGTGGATGTGAACTTCACCCAGGAGGAGTGGGCTTTGCTGGATCCTTCCCAGAAGAATCTCTACCGAGATGTGATGCGGGAAACCATCCGGAACCTGGCCTCTATAGGTAAGTATTATGTAATTCCATCACTTAGTCAATCAGAGAACAAGTGTTTCTTGTGAGTGTCGGCACTATTTCATGATTTGCAACTTGGAGAGGCAATAGTTTGGGGAAATAAAACATACATAGCCACGGTATACCATGAATCTAATAATTTCAAAAATAATTTTGTGGTAATGCATAATGATTTTTTGGGTCTCTGTTTTAGGGAAAAAAAGGAAAGACCAGAATGGTGAAGATCACTATAAACACCAAGGGAGAAATCTAAGGTAATTTGCAGTCACATAGAAAGCAAATTCACTTGAGAGTATCTTAGCATGTCATAAAGTTTTAAAAGGAGACAAAACAGATAAGCCCAGCTTGAAATTTACTTATTCTTAGAAAAATTGCACCAAAACATATACTTCAATATAAGTAGATGTTCAGTGTTTGCCCAAAAACCATGTGAAAACAGAATTAAGAAAATCCATATGTGAATATGACTGTTGTTGTAATAGTTGTCTCAAGCCCTCTTGCAGAGCATTTAATCCATTTATGCTCATACAAATCAGACATGGCATCAAGTCTGTACTTTCCCTGGTAATGTTAAAAATGCAAGTTTAGGTCAGGCACAATGGCTCAAACCTGTAATCCCAGCACTTTGGGAGGCCAAGACGAGAGGATTGCCTGAGCTCAGGGGTTTGAGACCAGCCTGGGCAATTTGGTAAGACCCCGTCTTTACAATAAATCAGAAAATAAGCTGGGCTTGGTAGTATGTGCCTGTAGTTCCAGCTACTTGGAAGGCTGAGACGGAAGGATCTCCTGAGCCCAGCAGATCAAGGCTGCGGTAGTGAGCATGCCACTGCACTCTAGCCTGGGCGAGAGAGTGAGACTCCAACTCAAAAAATAAATAAATAAAATAAAAATGCAAGTCTAATAGTCACTTATATAAAACGATTAATAAACAAATCCTTAGTAATGTGCTTCTCATTTTTTACAGAACTCGTATGATAGACAGACTCTATCCAAGTAAAGAAGGTAGTCAGTGTGGAGGAATTTTTAATCAGATTCCAAATCATAATATGAGCAAGAAAACTCCTGGAGTAAAACCATGTGAAAGCAGTATATGTGGAGAAGTTGGCATGGGTCATTCTTCCTTTAATAGGCACATTAGAGATCACACTGAACGTGAACCAAACAATTATCAGGAACATGGAGAGAAGCCACATTCACATAACCAATATTGGAAAGTCTTCAGTTCTCCCCACGCTTTTCGAACACATGAAATAATTCACACTGGAGAGAAACTCTATGATTGTAAGGAATGTGGAAAAACCTTCTTTTCTCTCAAAAGAATTCGAAGACACATGATAACGCACAGTGGATACACACCATATAAATGTAAGGTGTGTGGGAAAACCTTTGATTATCCCAGTAGATTTCGAACACATGAAAGAAGTCACACTGGAGAAAAACCCTATGAATGTAAGGAATGTGGGAAAGCGTTCACATGTATCACAAGTGTTCGAAGACACATGATAAAGCACACTGGAGATGGACCTTATAAATGTAAAGTATGTGGGAAGCCCTTTCATTCTCTGAGCTCATTTCAAGTACATGAAAGAATTCACACTGGAGAGAAACCCTTTAAGTGTAAGCAATGTGATAAAGCCTTCAGTTGTTCTCCGACCCTACGAATACATGAAAGAACTCATACTGGAGAGAAGCCTTATGAGTGTAAGCTGTGTGGGAAAGCCTTCAGTTATCTCCCCTCCCTTCGACTACATGAAAGAATTCACACTGGAGAGAAACCCTTTGAGTGCCAACAATGTGGTAAAGCCTTTAGGTCTATTAGTACTTTTAGAATACACGAAAGAACTCACACTGGAGAAAAACCCTATGAATGTAAGGAATGTGGGGAAGCATTCAGTTGTATCCCAAGTATGCGAAGACACATGATAAAGCACACTGGAGATGGAGCTTATAAATGTAAGGTGTGTGGGAAGCCCTTTCATTCTCTGAGTCCATTTCGAATACACGAAAGAACTCACACTGGAGAGAAACCCTATGAATGCAAACATTGTGGTAAAGCATTTGTTTCTTCTACATCTATTAGAATACACGAAAGAACTCATACTGGAGAGAAACCCTATGAGTGTAAGCTGTGTGGGAAAGCCTTCAGTTATCTCAACTCCTTTCGATCACATGAAATGATCCACACTGGTGAGAAACCCTATGAATGTAAACAATGTGGTAAAGCCTTTAGGTCTTCCAGTTCTTTTCGACTACATGAAAGGGCTCACAGTGGACAGAAACCTTATGAATGTAAGGAATGTAGGAAAGCTTACTCTTGCCGTGTAAGTTTTCAAAGACACCTGTTAACACACACTGAAGATGGACGTTATACATGCATGTGGGAAAGCCTTTGAGGCTCCAAGATCATGTCAAATACATTAAAGTACTTATCCTGAAGAGAAACCGTATGAATGTAAGCAATGTGGGAAAGCATTAAATTGTGTCAGTGCCTTTTTAGTACATGAAAGAAATCATACTGTAGAGAAGCCATATAAATGTAAGTAACATGGGAAAGCCTTCAGTCATTCTAGTTCCTTTCAAATACATGAAAGAACTCATCATGGAGAAAAATCAAACAAATGCTTTTGCAAGGAACTCACACTTGAGAGAAATCCTGCGTAAAGAATGTGGGAAAGATTTTATCACACAAGCTTTCTTTCATATAGCATGCATAATGGAGAGAACCCTTGTAGATGAAAAAAGTATGTCAAAACCTTTAGTCATTTTAGTTCAATTTGAAGCCATGAAAGAACACACAGAAGAGAGAAAGCTCTTGAATGTAAGCAATGTCCAAAAATCTTTAGTCAACCCATTTGCTTACAACAACATTTAAGAACATAGTGTGGATCAAAACCATGCAAAAGTGAAAACATAGAAGGTTTTCAATTATAGCATACTTTCAATGTCATTTGCGCTTTCTGTGGCTTAGTTGGTTAAAGCGCCTGTCTAGTAAACAAGATTCTGGGTTCGAATCCCAGCAGGAACTCACTAGTGAGTTATTGGATTTGAACAGATGTTTCTGCTCTTGCCTGGTGCTGTGGCTTATCCCTGTAATCCCATCACTTTGGGAGGCTGAGGTGGGAGGATTGCATGGGGCCAGAAGTTTGATACCAGTGAAAGCAACATAGTAAGACTCCAAAAAAAAGGTCATTTGAAAACTTTTAATGTGATAAAGTTCTATAAATGTAAGTGATATGAAAATTCTCATGCATAGCAGTTCATGTATAATGTTCCAGAAAATATACAATCTGAAGGAAATGTGTTAACTTACATATTTTGTTCATTAGTGGCTTGTACTAAAAAATAGTTCTCTAGTCTGTGGATTTCTAATTCTTACTCTCACAAGGAAATGTTGAGTTGATATAATCATGTAAGTAATCTTAAAGCAATAGTGCATGAATTTCATATGCGTATGTTATTTTAGATAAGTTAATAAAATTTTTGTGTTTCCCTTTTGAAGTGTCTCTAATTCATGGTGAATTTAAATGTATTCATAATATTCAGTTATGTTAAATCTTTATATGGTTGTTTAATTATATGTGAGTGAGGACCACTGAAAAATCTTCATTAATAAATGTTGGTATATACCCACTGGCCTCATTTTTTAGGTCCTTGATTCCCTTAGCCATTGTATATATTCATTCCACCATTTTTATTAGGACTATTTTTTATTCTTCTTCTTTTCTTTGTCTTGATTTTTTTTGAGTTGAGGTCTCCATCACCCAGCCTGGAGTACAGTGGCACAATCACAGCTCACCATAACCTCCACCTCCTAGGCTCAGGCAGTCCGTCCACCTCAGCCTCCCAAGTAGTTGATACTACAGGAGCATGCCCCCCCCACCCGGCTAACTGCAACCTCAACCTGCTAGGCTCAGGTGATCCTTCCACCTCAGCCTTCCAAGCTGGAACCACAGGCATGCCCGGCTAAATTTTGATTTATTGTAGATTCACGGTCTCGCCATGTTGCTCAGGCTGGTCTCGAAACCCTGAACTCGCCTCAGCTTCCAAAAATGCTGAGAATACAGGCTTGAGCCACCATGCCCAGAAAGTTTTTAATTTTTTTTTTAATAGAGATGAAGTCTCACTATTTTCCTAGGCTGATCTCAGACTCCTGGGCTCAAGCAGTTCTCCCACCTTGGCCTCCCAAATTTGTAGGATTACAGACCTGAGCCACCACACCCAGACCATTTTTCTTATAAAGACTTGCCATGAATTTTAAGTATGTAAAGTTCATCATAGTCTATAGTCTTATGTGAAGTATTATTGTCATCTGTTGTCCTTTACTCTTTGTCATGTATTCTGGCTGATATTTGTTTAATTGACTTTGGAGTAAGGAGAGAGATTTGATAAGACAATAAAATCCAGAATGGGAGATACATTTCATGGATTGTTATGTCAGTATGGGCAATGTTGGGAACTAGATATTTCAGAATTCATTTCTTTGATATTTGTTTGTTTGTTTATTGAGTTAGAGACTCACTTCATTGCCCAGATGGTACAGTCACACTCACAGCTACCACAGACTTGACCTGCTGGGCTTAGGCTATCCTTCCACCTCAGCATGCAGAGTAGCTGGGACTACAGGCATACACCACCACTCCCATCTAATTGTTTGATTTATTGTAGAGACACAGTCTTGCCAAGTTGCCCAGGACCAATCTTGAACTCCTGGGTTTAGGCAATCCTCTCACCTTCACCTCCCAAAGTGCTGGAATTACATGCGTGACCCACTATTCCTAGCCCTTTTTCTTTTATATTTAAAGACAGGATCTTGCTCTGTTGCCTGGGGAGGATTGCAGTGGCATGGTCATAGCTTACTGCAGCCTTAAGCTCTTGGGCCCAAGGCATGTGCCACCCTACCCAGCAATTTTTTTGTTGCCCCGAGATGTGGTCTCGCTATGGTGCTCAGGCTGGCCTCAAGCAGTCTTGATATCAGGCAATCCTCTCACCTCGGCCTCCCAGAGTGCTGGGATTATAGGCATGAGGCACCGTACCTGGCCCAAAATTCATTTCTTTTGTAGTTCCATATTAGACTGCATCAATAGCCTAACTTCCAGGAAAGTTGAAAGACAAGTGAAGAAAGCATTAGCTTTTGGAGATATCACATGGGGAAAGAGGTTCATATGGGCTGTGTGCACACCTGCTTCCAGCCATTTTTCTGATTGTTTGCCTTGCCAATCAAGAATATTATCTAAACCACCGTCATCTACTACTTTGCCTTCATGTTCTCGGAGGTATAGGTTTCCATAGATGTCCTTACAAGCTTTAGATGAAAGATCTGACATTTGGACTTTCCTGAAAGCTCTAATGTGTCCACCAAGTAACCAGTTCACTTTGCTGTGCTTTGGAATATTCTGGTAATCTGACATGGCTGTTCTCATTGTATTTTTATAAGGTCCAAATTGTATATAAACGCCTTTGTTCATATGGACGGTGACTATTACTGATTCAGGATGAATCACCACTACAGTGACACCATCAAAAAAATACATGGAGTTTATTCCTCTGCTTCATTGTACAGTGACTGCTCTCATCTAGTCCTTTCATGTGAGAGTAAGCGCATTATTACAGGATGATTGTGGGTGTTTCCTGTTACAGCTTAATGTAATCCCTCAGTTTATTTAGAGTTAATATTTATGTGATTAAAAACAATATGCATATCTTCCCCCACAAAAGTTCTCTACATGTTTCCTAGAAATAGTAATAGTATTCAAACAACTTGTATACTGTCAAATAAGTTTTTGTTGTTGTTTGTTTGTTTTTTACTTAGCAATGCTTTGTACTTGGATGTCCTCTCTGAGAGGACATTATAAGTCTAGCAAATATGTTGGATGTCCTCTCTCAGGGGACATAAAAATTGCTGAGCATTATACAGGACAAACTTATACCAGCACAAATTTCTCAAAACTACATTTCATTGAAGTTTTTCATTCAAATTGTATTAAAAAGGAAATAAAGAGGTGGAATAGGCCGGGTGTGGTGACTCACACCTATAAACCCAGCACTTTGGGAGACTGAGGCGAGAGGATTGTCTGAGCCCACAGGTTCAAGACCAGCTTGAGCAACTTGGTGAGACCTCATCTCTACAATAAGTCAAAAAATTAGCCAGGCATGGTGGTGTGTGCCTGTAGTTCAGCTACTTCGAAGGCTGAGGTGGAAGGATCACCTGAGACCAGTAAGACAAGGCTGCTGTGGTCATGAGCATGCCACTGCACTCCAGCCTGGTGACAGAGTGAGGCTCCAACTCAAAAAAAAAGAGATGGAATATATACTGAGATATGATTAATCAGTTGAGAAGTTTTTTTCAGGAATCACAAACTGTGTCCTTCCACATCTTCGGACAGTAGACTGGACAATAAAATTACATGTTATTAATGTGGAAGGAAGAAAAGACTGCACTGTCTGTTCAAGTAGAAAAACACCAGATGAAAACCATCAAACAAATTACTATTGGGCAACATATATCAATGAACCTGTAATGCATGTTGCTGTTTTACACTAAAATTACCACGTTAGAAAAATTGGATTTTTTTGTCATAAATAAGTTCTTAATGTCCAAAATTCCGTTATAAACCAAATGTCATTACAATAAAATTGTAATTGATTCCAATATTATGCCATTTAATATGAAGTGATTCGTTTTTCACTATTTTGTAAAAGAAAAAAATTGCAGTCAAGTTGCTAGTAGGTGATCTGCAACATGTCTGCATGTGCAAAGGGTTAAAATATCCCATTGCTATCATGGATCAGATATACTTTACAATTTGGCTAAATTACTTGTTCAAAATTGTGAGGCAATAATCACCATGTGCCTACAAATGAGACCCTTTTTCCTCAAGTAAATTTTAGTTTTCATGCTTATTTAGGTGCAATTTTTCATTCACCCATAATACCAACAGCTAAATCATATTGTTGTGACTTCTTTCCAGAGATCATCAGGACTTTACCAGTTGTCAAACAGAGTGTCATAAATTGTAGCAATAAATATGACCACAAACCATAAATGACCATGATATGTATGAGTGCGATGGTGTTGAAAATAATTTCTTATAGATTTGTGGGGGTTTTTTTAGATTAGAAAATGTAGTTTATTTAAAAGTGAATTAGTGAAAGAGAGAGCGAGAGAAGAAGATTCACCTCCCCAAGGTGGTGGAGGGGGGTTTGTGCTTTTTTAAAGGTTGGTTGATTTTAAGAAAGAAAGATTTCTTTGTATTGGATGTATTAAAGATGTGAACTTAACTCTATCCTTAGTCATTCTGATACCTATTATCTCAAAGGAAGAAGGGATGGAGTGGAAGTACACCTAATTTATAGAGAATACCAGTCAGGTGTGTGTGTGTATATATATTTTTTTGAGTTGGTGTCTCACTCTGTCACCCAGGCTGGAGTGCAGTTGCGCATGGTCACCCCAGCAACATCCTGCTGGACTCCAGCGATCCTTCCACCTCAGCCTTCCAAGTAGCTAGAACTGCAGATGCACGTTACTATGCCCAGCTAATTTTTGATGTAGAGACGGATATCGCCAGGTTGCCCAGGCTGGTCTCAAACCTGCATGCTAAGGCAGTCCACTTGCCTTGGCCTGCCAAAGTGCTGGGATTACTGGCTGAGCCACCGAGCCCAGCCTAGTCAGTTATATTGTGAGAAGGGGGGCTGTTAGACCATTTTTATAAATTGGAATGTTCTCTTGTACCATTTTTAGGGACATGGTTACAGAATGCTACTCCCATTCCTTTTTTTTTTTTTTTTTTTTTTAGTTGGGGTCTTACTTTGTCACCCAGGCTGGAGTGCAGTGGCGTGCTCACTGCCACCTCAGACTCGACCTGCTGAGCTCAGGCAATCCTTCTGCATCAGCCTTCTGTGTAGCTGGAACTACAGGCGCCTGCCACCACTCCTGGCTAATTTTTTTATTTATTGTAGAGATGAGATCTTGCCAAATTGCCCAGTCTGATCTCAAACCCCTGAACTCAGGTAGTCCTCTCACCACAGCCTCCCAAGATTCTGGGATTATAGGCATAAGCCTCTACACCTAGCCTTTTTTTTTTTTTTTGGATCCATCCTAGTCACTGAGGAACATTGTTGGTTGTTGGAGATGTTTGCCATGTTTCTTCAGCAGCATAAGACTTGGCCTTGCACTGAGTGTGAGGCCCAGTCCCAGACTTCTGGACCTGCTTTTGCTTTTTACTATCTAAACATTGAATTATTTTGTATGGTACACTGGACACTCTTTCACAAAGTATCTCAGCTGAAGTACATACACTTATATACTCCTTAGCAACTATATAATGTGTCACATTAGGCAAGTACCTTTACATAAAATGTCAGGATACAAATTTGGAAGGGACAAAGACTGTCACTGTTCTAATTAGTCCTTTTTTGCTCAGATAGAATGCTCTTGTTACTGGTTTATCAGTACCCTCATTTGCCAGAAGTGTAGACTCCAAACATACAGAAATCA